CGACGACCGCCATATCCACCATATCCACCAAATCCACCYCGGTAACCACCATATCCACCACGATATCCACCATAACCGCCACGATAACCACCATAACCACCACGGTAGCCACCGTAGCCCCGCGCCAAGCGATCGCCTTCGTTCTCATGTCCTTGCTGCGCGTCGACATCAAACAAAGTTAACGGTTCTTCGGCTGTCTCTATAGTGAGCACAGAATTATCGCCGACGGAATTACCGCTAGTGCCGACCAACATCACCACGAACATCACCAGTACTAAGCAAACTCTGAAGGCACGCATTTTCACTGAGTTAGTTTGTTTTAAGAACGTGTCTGAGTATTTGCTAGGAAAGCTCCCCTGGAAGAGTCGAAAACGTTTTGATTCTACTCGGAATAGCGCTTTGCGTTTATATACTTATATTGCAGTTAATCTTTGACTACACTCAGTACATGCATATGCGATTACAAATCATTTTAATAATGATATAAATAATCAGACAAATGTACTTTACTTGAAATCTCGAACGTGTTCTTCTAAAAAAATAGACAAAATATTCATGTACAGAAATTGAACAAGCAAACCAGATGCGCCTAGCAGACCGTCATGTCATACAACAGCAAGAAAAAACTCAAACGACGAAAACAACTACTTGATTTGGGGGTGGCTGTTGTTTACAGCTAATACCCGAGCTAGTCTCATTCGGCGCTCTCTCATTTAGTGATTCATCATCGCTATCACCTGGCCAGGTCAACTACACAACTCATGCATCGTATTGAATTGACGTCTGTTAATGAATGAAAGCGATCAGTGTAATCCAAACGATATTCGGCATACTTGAACGCCTCAGTAATTTCTGAGAAATGGTCAATGCAAGCACGATAGCGTATTTATGGGGTTTTCCTTTAAGGTACGCTCAGAATGAAAAACTTTAATATATTAATGTAATGACTTGTTTTTGTACTACTACTTATATTAGTTGTAATAGTAGTAATATGAAAACCAGTAAATGATTCGATTTTCCATGTATGCAAACATGGAATTATTTTCGAAGTGCATATAAGCTGMAACAACTTTTATAGCACTATTTGAATATTGACTCATCATGGATTACATGAAAAAAAATTTTCCAACAGTAGTAACATGTTGCGAGTGTATAATTATTAAATGACCTAAGTATACTCCGAGAATAAATAAAATATATTAATTACTATATAAATTAATATAGAAATAGAAGTGTTAATATGTTAGCAGTCATCTTCACCTAGCAGCCGGATTCATGTAAGAGGAATACACACGTGCTTAAAAACGGTCAAGGACCCTCCAGTCGTTGGTATTCCCAAAATATATTAGTTATTAATGATCATATTGTTTATTATTCATTATAGATATATCTTTATTTTTTGTTTTATTATATACTTTTACGATACAATAAATCATCCAGTAAAGCGATCTGTGTTTAATTGCTATCCTATAATTATTTGTGGGTTTTTACTCAGCTTGATTCAATTTCAATTTCTATGCTTTTACACACCATAAAATTAATTGTAAAATAATCCGATCGGCATATGAAAGCATCTAAGCATTTAATTGCGAGGCAGAAATCTGCTGATCGTTTAATTCCTTGAATTTTTTAACTAGATTTCATGAGTTCCTAAGTTGCCTTCTACTTGTAAKGTGAATTAGGTTTTTAAAATTGTAAACAATTTTTTACTCAGACTTTAATTGTAAAAAAAAAAATATTTTGAGACTGAAAAATAAATTTGAAATAAATCAGAGATAATCTTTTATGTGCTAAATGTACGTATTCTTTGTTTACACGACTTTTGCCATTTATACAGGTGCGCCATTTATTATGTAGGTATGACATTATGGAAAAACTCGTTTTGCACAAGTACTTATGTATAATAAGTAATAAGTATTTTTATTGAATTGAAACAAAATCTAAGACTTGGCCGTTTTTATTAGGAATATATTTTCAATTACGTTAAGATTGGCCAGTCATGTCATAAAAATTTTGACTCATAATAGACGACTTACTANTATATAATATAATACAGGGAATCTATGTAAGTCTCGCTCCAATCACACTTTATAGCTGCAGTTAATATTTCCTTATATTCTTAGTGCTTTCCTTAGCACCAAATAATAGTTTGTCAGAAAAGTCTTGCGGTATTTCTTGCGGAATTTTTATTGAATTTTCAATTGTTAATAAGATTTTTTTTTTATGTCTCATGCCCAGCTCTTGACCGATGCTGCGGCTGCTACTATGCCGGTCTCTTTCGATCAATTGAGCGATTTTATCGCATTTTCGACGGCCGGCCTTCCGGATGTAGCGCATCTTCGACGACCTCCACACCAGAACGAAAACGTTAAAGCCATCGTTGTGCGGTGGAAATGGAAACTGTATCGAGTCCATAAACTGCACAAATTTTATTGGCGGCTTGAGATGCATTTTTGCCTTTAGCGTGGTAGTACTGTAAAATATGCCGTATTTTGTCTTTATTTTGCTCCATGTTTGCGACGCTAAACCTCATGAACAACTTAAAAGAAACGATAATCAATCCATCATGTGTTAGCGCATGAAATAAGCTTTCCAAAAAGGTATAGCATGACCCGATGCGACGAATAAAACTAGAACTACGCGCTCTCAGCGCCAACCTACGAAAATACCGCATGACTTTTTTGACAACCTATATTTTCAATTACGTTAAGATTGGCCAGTCATGTCATAAAAATTTTGACTCATAATAGACGACTTACTAAGCAAGCGTTATGAATAGGACCATTGTCTTGTTGAAAAATTCAAGGAACKGTTTCAAAGAGATCACTTAATTTTGGAAATACGGACTCCAATAATGTTTTTAAGCAATCGGCGTTCATCCTCTGATCTATAAAAATCAAGTCAATTATTGCATAGAACGTGATGGCACCCCACACCATGACTCCACCTTCTCGGCTGTGAAGGCAACTTAATTTTAGCTCATCCCCTTTATGCAAATCGTGATAATAGTCTTGAAAGCCATCTAAATTAAWATGGTTTTCATCAGTAAATACAACTCAACTAAATACAATATCGAATATCATTGTTAATTTATTGTCCAGAAAGTGCTTTTTTCCTTTAAAATGCTTTCCATATGCTTYTSGATGCTTTAAATATCTATCAACGCTTCTGGAGTTGCGTTTTTTCCGTTTGGCAACCTTTCGATTGGATAGTCCTTGGGAGTGAAAAAATTATACTTTTTCWAGTTCCAATAAGCTCAGAATAGTATGCTGGACAATAAGAAAAATCTTGCTTATAAATATACAAATTTATATAAAACAATGTTGGCGCGTCTAACTTAAGATCAGCAGTGTATATAGAGCATCGAATCCACTTGCCCATATAAAGAATATCGAATAGTTCTAGTTATCATTTTACAAACTATTAACAATTACTACTAAAACTAGTAATAGTAGAAGAAGAAGTGACTGAATTAATACCTTATAATTTCTTACCCAGAGCGAAACTTAAAGGAAAACCACACAAATATGCTGACGTGCTTGCATTCACCATTTCTAAGAAATTACTGAGGCGTTCAAATATGCCGAATGTCATTTGGATTACACGGAGCATCATTAAGTTAGAGCTGATGGGTTCCATTCACTGATAGACGTCACTTCAATATGATGCAAAAAATGCATGCGTTTTGTGGTTGACCTGGTCAGGTAATAACGATGATGTTTCCCTAAATGAGAGAGCGAAAATCCGAGTGGCCGCATGTGAGGAGATGACACCGATCTCGGGGGTGTTGGCAGTAAACAACAGCCGAATCAAGTAGTTGTTTTCGACGTTTGAGTTTTTTCTGTTGCTGTTGCAAGACATAACAGTCTGCAAATTGCTAAGCGCATCTGATTATTTTTGTTTACTCAATTTCAAYTTCTATACTTGTATACATATTCGAGATTTATTTTCAAGTAAAGTACATTTCGCTGATTATTTATTTCATTTAGTTTATTTAAATGATATGTATATACAGGCAAAGTTCTACTCCGTGTATAATCAAAAGGTTTGCAACTATTCTAGAGCAACTTTYTTAACAAATACTCAGAATCGTTCTTACAAAAAATAATGCAGTGAGAATGCGTGCCTTCAGCGTTTTCTTAGTAGTAGTGATTTTCGTGGCGATACTGGTCGGCACTAACGGTAATTCCGTCGGCGATAATGCTGTGCTCACTTTAGAGRCRGCCGAAGAACCGTTAACTTTGTTTGATGTCGACGCYCAGCAAGGACATGAGAACGAWGGCGATCGCTTGGCGCGGGGSTACGGTGGCTACCGTGGTGGTTATGRTGGTTATCGTGGCGGTRATGGTGGATATCGTGGYGGATATGGTGGATACCGCGGTGGATTTGGTGRATACGGCGGTCGTCGTGGTGGTTATTATGGTTAAAAKWASGAGAAATATACGAAAAACTATAATTTATCTTTAATTTAAAATGTGAAATTAAAAATATTTATGATTTACAAAACTTCAAAYATAAAATATTGACAATATTTTTTARTATTTTMTGTTAAAAAATAAAYACGCAATTTTGTGTAAAATAAAATGTATTCAACTTTTTTTGTTTAAGCGTATGTACATTTTAAAATACCAATGATTAAGGAAAATATTAACTTCATTAACAAAAGCCTAAATTTGATAATATGTACTCGGTTATGAATTTTAGAAGAAACGTCTAAAATTTTGAATGATATTAATTGATTAAAATAAAGGAAAAAGTGGGAAGCCAAAAAATTTTAAACGAAAAGCTAAAATACCTTCGCATAGCCAAATAWCTCCATACAAGAAATTTATTCCAACCGTTCTTTTTGTATGGCAAATATATTTGCATAAAGTGATTAGATCTGAACAATTTCTTAGTTCTGTATAARATTCTATGTGAATTTTCGTGAAGATATCTTGTGAGAGCGTGATTTTGTTTTTTTGTTTGTATTCCAATTACTTGTATAAACTAAAGTCGTCCGATATCGGCGATTCCTATAATTAAGCAGCTTCTTATGAACAAATTTCGATGACTGAAATTTTGTACACAAAGTGCCATTAAGAATGTTTTGCACCAGATTTTCCCGATAAGACTTAAACTTTCTATAGAATTAAAAAGCTATCTCAATCAAATTTTTAAATTGGATATTAGGCTGCTACTTGTCGCTACTATACAACTTTGTTATATATAAAGTATGGTTTACACGACCATAACACAACATATGGCTTGAGTTAATTCATATTATTTAAATTAATATAATTAATATGAATTTCACTTAACAAAATAACACATTCGACCTTTTTGGAACTTTACTAGTAATAAAAAACAACATCTGTCTTTGCTATTTAATAAAAATGTAAATCAGAAATTCTCTCTACTTTTTTCCTGCCTTTGTTTGTTGTCGAATATGGGAAATAAAAAAGATGGTTCAGTATTCAGAGCATAATAAAATAAAATTAAGAATTCGAGTCTCCTTTGGTTGGGAATATTTTGTAAAAGTCATGGTGCGTTTCCATTCATTTGCAATGTCAATCTGCATAAAGAATAGGAAATATGCTTTTAATACTATATTCATTTCACTGTTTTCTGCCTTGCCTAAAAGTATGCTACCAAAGCCTAAATAGCGCGATGTTTTACTTCCGCTTGGTCTCTGCGCCCATTCTACTTGCAAATATAAAATAACATGTGATAAATTTGCTGGAATTATTCCTGCTATCAATACACAAGCCTTTGCGAATTCTCTAGTGATGGCAAGCTTGTGTCTTAAGTCTTCAGTTTATGRCTTGATATTATATTCTATATATCGTCACCTGAAATGCAAAATAACGTATCATCAAAAAWTTCAAAATTGACTGTCTTATTRGTTCAAATTACATACATAATATTAYATATGTTCAACATTTTCAGGTTCTGCGGTCAGATATAAATCAGTTGTAACCAATATTRAAGTTTTGTTTCACTCATGTTCCATTYTATTTCGTGTTTCATTCATGCCACTGTAAATTTCCGAAAATGTTGTTACGTTATTTTGCACTTCAAGTGACGATATGTATGCATGCCTGTGAATTTATTTCTACCTTAATTACTATAATATTATGTTTGTTGGCWTACCAAATACCAATTTATTTCCAGTTTTAGTCGAATTATTATTAAGACTTAAGCAAGTTGTGTGACAATAAACTAGCGGAGATCGCGTCCGCACAATATTGATTGCGATAAGTTAAGTTAACACATCTCGCGCCAACCAACAAAATCGCGATTTACTCATTTGGGCCAAAATATTGTTTTTTTCGGATAATATTTTGCTTAGTCCATTTATTGTATATTTGAAAACATAAAGTGAAAGTTTTAACTTTTCCCATGATTTTTTTTTTCAATTTTCCATGTTGCACCTGTGATCACGCAGTCAAAGTAAGTAAAATTATTTGTCTCTATCAACATCATCATCGTCTTATGAGTTACAAAAATCTAACAGATCAGCAAGATTAGCATTCAAAGTTTCTTCTCTTTATCACCAAGTTTTTTCCTTGACATATTGAATTTTTTTTTTTCAAAATATCTGAATTAATTCGTTTGATCTGTCGAATTTTTGTGACTCAGCAGACGATGATGATGTTGATACATATATACAGATTACATTTTGAAATTTTTTGACAGAATTAACTTTTTTTTCGTTATACATACATAAATGTCAAAAAAAAAAAAAGAAAAAAAAAATGCTTTGAATGTTGTCATTGTATGGAAAAAAATTGTTTTATTTTTCAATATAAAAAAAAATACTATTACAAAAAACCGTCCACCTGTTCTCATTGAACTCATATTTAGCTCTATATTTTGTCCCCCTGACACATTATAAGTATGCAAACGGGTCAGACTAAACACAATTTCAGGCTCTTCTGGGGTCACAGATTCATTTCAGATATATAAACCCAATGTAAATCGTGCGCAGTATGCCCACATTTGCGTGTACTTTCATTGATGTTGGGTGTTGATATGTGAACACGCGGCCCAAACGACCAAACGAGTACTCGTGGCGTGTGCACCGGTGCCGCACATGTTGCTAAATGTGTTAAGGTGAACAAACAGATAATTAATTTGAGATTTGATGATTATCTTAAAATTTACACAAAGCACTGAATTAAAACCATATTTAATGTTAATTACATATACTTAGCAGTAAATTCTACGCAAGCTGTACTGATTCCATTCATAGTATGAAATACCCAAATATGCTAGATGAATATATTTCCTTGCAATTATATTTATTTCATTATATTATATTTGACTTGTGGTAATTCGTAAATCAATTCTCAAACGAGATATATGGGACCGAGTGAAGCATTGGCAATTTAACTACTTTTTCCCTTTCCCTCCTAATCTTACATATGGACCGATGTTTTTAAAGTGGTATGTTGGGCATTGGAGAGTTAGTATAAAAATATCTTATCGAATTTCGGCAATTTAACTATCATACAAAATACATATACGTAACCCATAGCATAATAGCAGTGAAAGCATAACACCAGGATATGGTGAACCCCATAGCAAATACCCGTCTGAAGAACAACAAAGCGGTATTGATGGATTGCCGGCCGAGCTAATCAAACACCGCAGCAAAGAACTGATAAAAAGAATGGCATCAGCTTCTTTGTAGAGTATGGTCGGACGAAATGCCCAACTATTGGAATTTAAGTGTGCTCTGCCCAAACTACAAAAAGGGGGACA